TATAATTTATATTAGTCATTTTGGACTTGATTGTATTCTTTTCTTATTTCGATAGCTTTAATTATTGTTTTTAGGGATATTTTAGGTAGTTTATATGGTTGAATAGTGAAAAAGGGTATTTTGGAAAGGCTATCATTAAATTTTGGATATTTTCAATAATTTCCCTAATTTTTAGACCTTTATTTTAAAGTCAAAAGTTTCTAATGCCCGCTGTGGAGGAGGGAGAGAGGTGGGCAATCCATCCAATAATGGGCTCATCGCTCCCTCTCAAATTCGCTGTCCTTTTCTCCATCTCTCTCGCCGGCGCCGCCTCCTTCGCCACCACTACCACCGCCACTTCTCTCCCATTCTTCAAACCAAAGCCCAAGCCCAAAGCCACAGTCTCGGATTTGCTCTCCGTTCTGGGTTCACATCAACAGGCCAGTTCGGTCAACTCTCATGTGGCCCGAGAACTGCGATCCTGCTTCAAGTTCCTTGTGCCCTTTAGTCCCACTCAACGGCTCAGCCCCGAGTCTTCTTCGGCTCGGCGATTGCTGAACGATCGGAACAAGAGAGACGACAATGAGATGATTTGGTGGCCGCCGGCTCCAGTAATGGAGCTCGCTCGTCTCGCCGTTGACTCTGGCGGTGATCCTGGGGCAATTCATATTGCTCTCGATCCAACCATTATCCCAGTAAGGTTTCCACCTTTTTTTTTTCTTCCCACCGTTTTGGGCTCTTGTGGTTCGCATATTAGTTATTAAAAGATTATTTAGCATACTAGAAATTACCCTTCAACACCCAAGTGCCTAATTTTGCAAGATTTCTACCCATATGGTACCTTTATACCATTCTCTATTTTGGTACAGTTTCATATACAAATTTACTTATTTTCAGCAGTGCCAGTATTTTCGCTTGGGTATGTAGGGGTGGGCATTTTAACTTGAACCGAACCTCCCGAACTGGAATCGCGGATCCAAACATTACATAGAACCGAGTGGTTCCATATACAAAATACCCGAAGTTTAGACCGGACAGAAACCCGTTTAGGAACCCAATTTTCGATTTCTATTCTTTTTACTTTCACACGTTGTGTAAATTTTCAACAAAGACATTAATGTAAATTCATTGGTTTTCTTCGTTGCTGTGTGAAAAAGCTTGCTGAAGGAGATCTAAGAAAGCTGGAAAGAGAATTTTAGGAAACCAATGGGGAGTCCTATGTGATTTCTCTCTTTTTTTTACGTTTTTAGTTCTAAAATATAACTAGTTGAATGAACTAATATAAAAAATTGCTTACTCTACTTTTTTTTTTAACGGTAGAATTGAACCCGACAATCGACGGTCCTGGTTTGGTTCCAAAAATTACATGGAACCCAATGATTCCATTTACAAATACCCTAAGTTTTAATTGGCGGTTCTGGTTCTTGAAATACCCCCAACAGATCCGCCCAACGTCCATCCCTACTTAGGAAAATGGTGGTAGTTGAGGGAGGTTTTTAGTTTGAATTTGAATTCAAACTATTTTAGTTTGAATTTGAATTCAAACTATCCCCCCAGCCTATTCTTATAATTTGCGCCCCCATTATTCCCCCATTAAATTATAATTAATTTTTTCTCACTCTCTTATTAGCAACCACATATTCTCCAATAAAATAATATTACACGTTAATTCAAAATTTTTTCTTTCTTTTGTAATTACACATTCTCCAAAAATTTACTATTCATCTCCTTATAATATGGAATAATGGGGGCCAAACGGGCGCTGAGTGTCAGGTTAGGTCAGCTCACATTGATGATTCATGACCATAAGGCCATAATCTAACATATGAGCAAGCATCATTAACATTCCAATAACATTTTTTGAGTATATAGTACTTGGTGTGGTATCAAGTATGCGTATGTGACATTAGTGCTATCAATCATGATGGAGCCATATAAATTTACATAAGGAGAAAACATTAAGGTGCAATCCGATTTGAATAATGCAGGTTCCTGATGTGGAAGGAACGAAGGAAGATCGATGTGAGCTTACTAGAACCCCATATGGGAGACACTTCATAAATGAGGTATGCCGTATAGATATGATAGATGTCACTATATTGTAATTTTCATATGATTTGCATCTTTAGTTATTAAATTATTTATTTTTCTGATTTTCTTAATAATGTATCGTTTAATTCTCATTTTTGTAGGAGTTGAATTCGTACCTAAAGTTTTTATTTGAAATTATAGTTCAGCGGGGTCCCAGTGTAGGGCTGAACGTTTCATTGAATCGCTATGACTTTTTTCACGGTCACCTTTTCCTTGCCATGGATTCTGGAAGACTTGGTATTTTGTAAGTTGAGTGCCTTGCAACATCTAATTTTATGATTCTTCCATCTACTCTTTTGAGCTTGAGATGAGAAGAGTTTGGAAACATAAACACCAGCATAAACATAGGGCGTGTTCGGTAGAGATTAAAATTGAATTAAAATTGAAAAATTAGCCGTTATTGTTGTCTTTTATTAGACAAGTGGGACCCAATAATGGCCATATTTTCAATTTTAATTGGATTTTAATCCCTCCCGAACGGGGCCTTAATATTAATACAGTACCTCAATCCATAGTGCAAGTCTTAGCCTTCCAACTGTAATATTGTAATTCTTCACTTCCATTGAGAACG